AGCTCTAACTGGATCTTGAGTTAGAGGAGGAAGTTCAGCAGTAAATTTCTACTTGAAATAGGCACTTCAAAAGCCTTGAAATAAATGCAAAAGGAACAAGAGCTTCTCTAAATTCTGTATCCTGGTGGGCATAGCCTGAAAGGTTCTGAAATTCATATCAGTGAAATAGGTTCTCTTCACTGGTGTGAAAAAAATTCCCCAGTATTAAAGGAGAAACTTCCACCTCCAAAATACCTGAATGTTTTTTTTAGATAAAAGCACCAACTTCTAAAACCTGTTTTGCTATTTTTTATTTTTTATTATTTTTTTTATCAGTTCTTTCTGTATGTTATTTTTGAAAATATATGCTGGTATTGATCAGTGACCTTCCTCAGTGATGCATTTAGTTGCCAGACATAAACATGCTGCAAATAACTCACACTGTGCAGGTCTGCCAGTGCCTCCCAGCCTTGAAAATGTGCTGTAAGTGAACTGGAAGGAAAGCTGTCAAGGGATTCCTGCCAAAGAGATCCAGGCTACAATCTGCTGAATGCATCCTGTCTGAGTACCCTGAGCTTGCCTGGAGTTCATTTTTCCTCTCAAGATCATGCTTTTATGTGGAAGACTGTTGCAAATCCTGATTTAGTATTCTACTGACTACGCCAATTTGTTACAATTGAGTGGTTTAGGTAGCTTAAAGAATCACTATCACAGGTTTTGGCAGAAGTGAGTTTTAATATAAATGTGTGAAAGTGCAACAAATTTTAATGGCAATATTCTCTATTATTTACTATGTAGGTGAAGCATACAAAGGAATATTGTTTTAAAATCATTAGAATGCTTTGCATGGAGGCCAGGGATGCAAGTGGTAAGGGTGCAAAGGGTAAGGAAGACTTTCTCATAGAGTCACAAGGTTCAGAGTGGACCCCATTGACAAACTTAGCCTTAGACCTGATCAACATTTCATGTTTAAAGGATTTAAGCAGTACTTAATCCATTGACTAATCCAGCATTTATAAAGTAATTCACTAAAATTGACTAAAATTGCAGCAGTTACTTAATTATAGTTCTGAGATGTCAGTATTTATGCTTTACTTGCTATAGGGTATTTAAATCAAGTCGCACACATGCATGCACACAGACATAATGAAATGTGTACAGAAGTACCTGTGAAAAATTCCCTCTGATTTCAGTCAAATACCCATGTCGAGTGCCTTGGCTTTTCTCAGTGGATGAGGGTTGAGGCTCAAGGAGAGAGTCTTTATCAGCCTATGCCATGTCATCATCTTTCTCACAAACATAAGAGTTTGCAAGCTCTGAGAGCCATCCCACCCACAGGGAGATTCTGGTGTATCCCACTGAAGTCCAGGGAAGCTCAAAGGGCCTCACTTAGGACCCCTATTTATAGGGTAGCAAGATGTTAGCTTTAAAATTTCCCTCCTCAGATCAGTAAGCATGGGAGTTTCCAAAACAATTCCAAATTGTTTCCAATACAATTTCAAATTATTTTCAAAACTCCAATCACAATGGTACTTTTCCCCTTGGGTTATGGGCCAGGGCAAGTCTCAAGGCTGTAAGTGGGAGACTGACTGTGCTCTTGTCCTTTATCTCAGGGATGTTCCAAGCTTAATCACACAAGAGTTCCCATATGGTCGAGGGAACCTTGACCACCCAACTCCTCATACAAAGACCAAGACCCAGTGGGGATTTCTGAGGTTGTAGAGTGGTTCCAAGGAAGAGTGTGGGGAGGAGAATGCACCGCCACAAAGACTTGAGACAAGAAATGAGGAGGTTTTTTATTGTTTAAGTAGTTGTGTTTAACTTTATAAAATGGTTTGACTGTGTTTTATTTTCTTTTCTATTTTTTCTTTTTTCTTTTTTTTTTTTTTTTAGGTTTAGCCAATGTCAAGGGAATGACAGAGTAAGCTGATGATGATTTTTTTGTCTTTGGTGATGTGAAAGAACCCTCTACCAAGTGTATCTCCTTGCAAAATGGCTGTTCAGTGAGGAATGATACCTCTTCATCACATATACATTTTAGAGGCTTACTCCAGTAGGAGCCTGGGCAGAAGTACTATGAACTGTTATAGTGAGAAGGACTAACACGTTTCAGAAGATTTCCAGGTCAGAAGACCTTTCCTGATGCAGTTTTGGAGTATTATTTTTACCCTTCTTGGTAAGAAGCTAGCTGTGTATCTGTCTGTTTTCCTTAACTCCTAGCAAAATTAAAGAATGTGTGTTGAAGGTTGCAGACATGAGATAGCCTCAGTGCTTCACCAGCAATCACACAAGAGCATGTGCTCTGCATGCCCACTACTGCTTTGAGCAGTCTTATTGACTCAAGGATGAGGATGACCTGATTTCCTCTACACTCATTGAGGGATGTCAGTAGGCCTATAAGAAATTTTTAGTGACCAGGCCACTTGCTGAAAATGTTTGCTCTGAATTAGTAATTCATATGGAAGCTGCTGTCAGTCACAGCTTTTGCTGTGCTGCTTTTTAACTGTGTAACTCTGCATGTTCTTGAGGGCTGAGACACAGAGTTTGATTTGCACCGTGTATCACTGTAATGTTTTGTTAAAGCAATGCTGTAATTACAGGCACAGATATCTTCATTTACAGTACAGGAATATCCTGTGACTTCAGAGAAGAACTACAGGAATGGTGAGTGTGTTGTTGATGCCTCTAACCCACCAAAATATAGCGAGATTATCAGTGGATTAGTTGTCCAGGAGGTTACGTCACAAAACACTTCAAGTGAAATTGTTTCACTAGAGGTACAAGCGTAAGGAAGCCACCATTGCTTTATTGATATTTGTCAATGAGGAATCCTAAAAGTTACATGGAGATGATGTTTTAAACATTTATGCTGCTGTATTTTTATATACAGCTTTTTCATTTTTTTATACTCTACATTTAAAAACAATAAATTTATCAACACTGATTTTGTAATAGCCATAGTTAGAAAACACTGTTTATTTAACAAGTATACATTTTCTCTATGTATGTTTCTTAGAAGTTGTACATGAGTGACTTTATAGTACATGAGCATGTGTTTGTAGTACATGACCATTAGGTCAATATACTTAGGGTCATGTTTTTGTTTGTGTGTGGCTATCCTGGATCCTCTCAACAGAGTTGTTAAAAACCTGTGAAGATTTTTAAATTCTTGAAACAATATTTGAGGGGAAAAAATTTAAAAGTATTTTATAGGCATTGCATAACACTTTCTGGATTACTACACACTTAAAAAAATTACCAACAAGCAGAAGTGAGAGTATAACAATTACAATGTTGGAAAATACTTGTTTTTTTAGAGGAACAGAATGTTGAAAAGCATGGACTGACATTTAAAAGGAAAGTCATTAACGAACAGAGCTGTTTGTTTCAGTGGATTTAAGATCAGGCCATAGATAGAAAAGGTGTGAGTCTGGAATTGTGATACGCTTCTATGAGAGTATAATAGTCTGTGACCAGGCTCTTTAATTATTCCATACATGGATAGTTTAATGTATCAGGTTTATGTATTTGAGGATATTTTACCTTATACAGGATTTTGATTAATTGATAACACAGTGCACTGAAATCACCATACAAGTTACACTTAGCAGAAGATAACAACTGACTATATACATGAATCACAATACTAATAAGATTTGTGTTTTACTAGTCTTGTTTAATATACTCACTGTCACAATGCTGATCATACCCAGTTGCTGGGAAGGAATGTGGACTAAAGCCAGCTCAAGCCTTTCTCTCTTCAAACTTTTTCAATTCCTTAGCTTTGGTACTGTGTTGGGTTCAGCCAGATATACACTGTTGTGTGCTGGTTTGGCTAACTCAGGAAGACATTCACATTCTTTTGCTTATGTTTTTGTTAACTGTTTGACAACAAACATTTATGTAGCCAGTCTATCCATGCAAATGATAGTCATTTAATTAAAAGTCTGCTCTCTAGTCCCTTTTCCCTTTTCTGTTACATTCAGCTTTCTCTGCAACAGTGTTGGTAAGTGGATTTTGTCTGAATTCAGTGGAAATGTATCTGTGTAAGAATGCCTAGTGTATTTTCAGAGGCAGGAGGAGGATTATTTTTAATTAAGTTGTGGAAAATTCTTGAAGAGCTCAAATGCTTTTTTTTCCAGTGGAAGTTTTTCATCATGCATCTTGTTACTTAATCTTCCGCAGAGAAGAGTTCATTGCCACAGTGGTATTTTTTTTCATATATGAATTTCTAGTTTTTAATCTTTTGGCCTTTCTAAAGTCAATCAGAAAGATTCTGTTAAGGTCACCGGAGACAGACCTTGCCCTTAATACTAAGATACAAAGCTATGAGATGTTCATCAAAGCAATATATTCCTCTGGAAGTATTAGAGATCCCATTAGTGTCTAATGTTTACTAATATGCAAACTTTGGTAGAATTTAACTTAGGCTCTTTGTCATGTTCTCCTGTTCTCATATATATTTGCAAAATTTTACTGTTGCAGACAGAGCTGTACGGTATTCATGTGAACTTAATTTTATCTATTTTTCTGGGAATGGGGCTAAATTGTAAACCAGTTTAATATACTTGGGGCTCATTAGGTACTCATTATAAATTCATTTTTATAATCAAATCTCATATAATTTTGTTACTGTGGAATTAATACACTCATAATGGAAAACACTGGGCATTTCTGTTTCAATAAGTAAAGGAGCCTGTTACATTTCAATAAGTCAGACATAAATGCCACAGGTCAGAGACAACTAAAACAAAGTTTTTTATGCCATTGGTTTATTTTGGCTAATTCCTACAAACATTGTTGTGCATAACGTGCAACTATGCTTTTGGACTGAGGCATACATATGTCTTTTAACTCCCCTTTATTTCCAAACCAAAAAAAGTAAGAGATTCACAGAAGTCTCACAATATTTGTAATTGGGATTTATTGGTGGAATCTGGTTTGCTTTCCTGTGGTATGAATACCAAGTCCCAAAGTAATAGAACATTGTCCGCCGTTGCCGTTCTAGCAACGTGATATGTTTAAGAATAAACATCTGCTGATGTGTGCAGTGAACTGATGAGGCTTGAGGCCGTGGAGACTGTCTTGGAATTCCTTTGTGAACAACCATTGATGTTCATGTCCCTTGGAGCTGCTCTTTTCTTATGGCTGGTGTGCATGCTGTCCCCATCATTAGTGTCAAACACCACTGTCATGCTGGAGTCCATCCTGGACACAGCATAGAGGCTGCTTTGCCGGGTGGGGTGGAACCTGGCTGCCTTTAGCTCCAGCTCATCGTAGCTGGACACCTCAATGAAAGGGCACCAGCGGAAGGCTCGCTTGAAGCCAGCTCGGAACCTAGGAGGAAAGAAGCCTGGTGAAAGCCTGTGCTTGAGAGAGGCAGCCCCAGGCCTTCATCTGAAAACATACACTCTGCTGGCAGGACACTGACTTGGCCAATTATCCTGCCCTTCAGTCTGGATATGGTGAAGTCAGTGGGAATTTACTTGACTGAAGTCTGAGTAGGGCAAAAAAGATAGTGGTAACAACTAGTTTCGGTTTCTGATTTTCTATATACTCTCCCTGCATTTTAACAGTGGTATTTTCCTTAGAATGAATTTCCTGTCCTTTGTCTGTGCATAATAAACAAACACTAATTTTCATAGAACTGTCTCCACAGAAATTGTTTTGATTTGACCTCTAATGAAATCTGCACATATATTTTCATCTTACTTCAGCAAGAAACTTTGTAATATTCTTTTGTCTAAAACATCATCCCAGTTGCCAAATTTCCATATCCTTTTCCATATTCCCTACAGATACCTGTATGGGAATGTTGTAATGGTTAATAATTCATTCATAATAACTTCATTTAAAATACATGGAAAATAATTTTTTAATTATTAAGAGGCTCCTAGAAAGCTGAAATCTGAATTTGAGCAATATACAAACAGGCATGTTGAGGCTCGAGCATCAGTGTTTGCAATACGCATACAGAGGCAGGGATTCACCTTAAAGACCATTGTTATGTTTTGTATGTATGCATTTCCAGAATAAAAGTTTAACATATTAGAAAAGCAATTCCCTATTGTATCTGTGTCTAACTGGAAAAAGAACACCTTTTCACCTAGACCTAAAGCTTATCTGACTTTCTCACTTGTCTTGCTTCTCTTGTTTTGTTTTAACAATCAGCTCTGTGGTTTATCCTGTCTGTAAGTTTTTTTAAGCAATCAACTACCACATGTAGACTGCAGGTAAAAATGCAGATAAGGCGTTCAGTTAAAGTTAATGGATCTCACAGAAGTGACTTTTCCTTCCTCAAAGTTTTAAGTTTGCTGTGGAGTTCTCACATGATGACAACCGAGCAAGTAGGTTGCTATTTAGCATCCTCTGTTTACAAGTTCATATTTTGGAAAAATACTGAAAGAACCTCTAATGGAAATGGATTTAGTGATAGGAATTGTAAAACCAAAACATCTTTAAACTGTATTACTTTTCTTGGTACCTTCCATCCTCTTTCTAATTCAGGGCATGTTTATTTCTTCATCTTGAAATAATGCTCTCTTTATCTAGATATGTAATATCCTAATTAGCCTGGAAGATGAGGCTGGGGATAGATGTTCTGTCTGATACTAAATCCAGCAGAGGCATGAATTTATCTGACTCCCAGCAACAAGATCTATTTTCCTACTTAATGAAAAGGAAGCAGACATTCTGGTATCTTCATTTCAATATGGAACTTAATTATAAGATAACTGTCACCAGGATTTCATTCTTGCATCAAATTCTGAACAAGGTGATCTTTAGTATGTCTCAAAATAGTAATTTTTCTTTGGCTGTATTCTTTAATCCAGACATTTAATTTTTCAGTTTGCAAGTGTCAACATAAGCTATATCAGAGATATTATTTTTTTATGAATACTTTTGTAACTATGGCATAAAAAGTTTTTGAAGAAAATAGGATTGGTTTAGAAGTTTTGTAGTAGTAATTGAAAAATATGAGGCCTCATTCTTCCTTGCCTTTGATTTTGCAGACTCTGGACACTTACTGAAATCTGGCTTCTGTTGAAATTAATGGAAAATTTGCCATTTGAGTTATGATTTTGTTCTGGCATGCTAAAACTTTACCTCATCTTTAAACAGTTGTAAATGATGAAAAGAGGCAAAAGCCTCTAAGAATTTAGTCATTACCTTGTCTTTTTAAAAGATCATGAATGTTAATCATCGTAAGTTATTCTCATCAAGGAGGAAGATGCCAGTGTTTTTACACCAATAAAAACTCGTTAGGATTTGTTCACTTATTTTTGATTAGACTCCTTTTGTCAGGTACTGTATAATCTTTAGTGAGGGTTTAGAAATACCTTGCACTGTTGCTATAAGGTTTGGCAGTAATTAAACTTGTCACTGGTTCATAAGTTAAGAGATTTGAAACAATATTTAAGATTGCTTATTCAATATTGGTTCATACTGACTGATTTGTGAAGTAATTAATTGTTCTTGGTGATCTTTATCCAATAGTGTTAGAAGAAATACTAGCAAAGAGGATGTCCAGGATGATGATTGTGTAGATCCTGGTCCTATAAATTGAAATAAAAGACTTGAGTTCATTCTGCAATGCAGTAGTCTCAGAATAGCAAGTATCTGTAAAACATCACCAAACTCAGCAGATGCAGTGCCTTTGAAATTCGGAGCAAAATGTGTTGCTATCAAACAATACTGTAATTTAGTATTAAGTAATGAGAATGTAAACATTTGTATAATATTTGTCAACCTGTTGCAGATCTTGGAGCACAGAAGAAATCTCATGCCAAGATATACAAAACACAGTAAATCACATTTTATATTAAATTGTTCCAGCAAAACAAAATTTGGGCTACAATTAGCGAACATACAGCTTGCATTCTATATTGTTTATTACTGTCTTCTTTATTTTAATATTTTGGAAACCAAAAGACATTAAACTGCTATGGTTTTTTTTCATTTTGCAGGTGGACATGGAAAGGACTGGTTTCTGAAAGCTGAATTTTGCTCTGAAATTTTAAGTAGACCAAAATATTTACTGCAAGTCCTCCTTTGGAGTTTTGGGGATTCTTTTCAATTACAAACCTAAAGAAAGGTGATTGGGTTTTTTTTGCATTTTGTTTTCTTTCCTACTAACTGAAAACTACTTAAGTGAAAATTCTATTCCTTTTTTTTTCCATTTAAGCAATTTGTTCTTGGTGAATTTACGCACCTTGTTTCATAACCAGCTCTTACCTCTTATTAAGACAGCAGTAGATAATGGGATTGTACATTGTAGAACTCATGGCAAGCCAGAAACTGGCTAAATAGATTTGCTGAATATATTTCCACCGATTTAATTGTTGATAAATCCCAGTAACTATGAAGTAAATGTGGTAGGGCAGCCAGCAGACGGCAAATGTCAGCACAACCACAATCATCATTTTTACCACCTGAAAGAAGTAATAATGATATTTAGCCTTTTTTATGTGGACTAGCATTTCAACATCTATTAATAACATTCTTGTAATTAATTTTTAAAGTCAGTCAAAGGAAAGCTGAATATGCTTTTGTTTAGTTTTTCCTTTTAATCTCACTCTCTTAATTAATTTTTTCTTGAATGGAGATCTTCTTTTTCCAAAGAAAAATAACATGAAAATTTTTCCTTTATTTGTATTGATTTTTACAAGTTATGTATTTGCTTACTTATATTTGGCTATATAAAATATCACTTTCCTGTACATCTAATCATGGCATAAGGTTACAGAGTGTTTTACTCGGACACCTCATTTTGGCCTTTATTGACCTTGGTGTCTATTTTTATTGTGGTCTGCAAGTCCATTTCTTGTCCCCAGTTTTTAGATGTGATTTGCATAACGCTAGGTTGTAGGAAATGAACAACTGCAGCATCCTGTTTAATTTCAGGGCCTAACAATTCTCTTGGCTGGTGATCCTTTTTTGTTGTTTTCTGCAGGCATCACATCTGGTAGCTACCATAGTTTCCAGTAAGCATAAATGAAGAGGAACTTTGCTTTGTGCTCCAAACACATGAAGAAATCTTGCAACTAATGTAAAATTTTCACTCCCATCTTTCTCTTTTCACCTATGTCAAATACTAGTCCAGCTGCCATTTTCAGCACAATATGTCACATGTTTACACCACAGATTTTATTTTGTAGCTAAAATGGAACTAGACATGATAGATCTATATTGGGAAATCTCTTGTTCATTTGTACCTGTGAATACTGAGGAATAACAAGGATCTCTATGAACAGTTCCTTTTCTTTTTTCTTTGTACAAGGTCCAATTTCATACTGTTTCTAGTTTTACCAGGGGAAAAATCCAAAGAGCTGAAATTTCCTGTACTTACATGTCTTTGGTTAATGTTTTTATAAAATTCCAACTAGCATAAGTTTTACATATAATTGTTATGGTGTTCTCCTTTACTCGCATTGCATCTTCCCATGAGAAATATAAAGCTTTTTTTCATTTAATAGCTGGCACCAATTAACAACCTTGCCTGCTGGACGGGACTGTAATGTGCAAGATTTTGCTTATAAGAATACTTATTATTGCTGACATATATGCACTGATTATCACTTTAAGGTAAAAAAGAGGTATCTGGCCACATATACAACATTAATAATAACTTGATTCTTCTGAAGTACTTTTCATCAGTTAACTATAAAGCATCTGTGATCAGGAAGATCAGTATTATTATAATGGAAGGCAACGCACCAAAACGTAGTATCACTTTTACCTTTCACATAAACATCTGTGTGTCTACATCTAGGCATATACAGAAGTTTATGTGACTATATTTGCAATTTTTTGGGGTGGTGGGGGGGAAGAGGTTATAATTTTATGTGGATAGACATATCTGGACTAAACTATGTATGTGAAGTGACGCATAAAATATGTTGTCAAATCACTGTCTATCATTAAATGGCCTTGCTATTTCACTGCTTTTGACATAACTTCTGCTGTTCTGCTGGGGACTTACACTTCTGCCCTGCACATGTTGTATATATAGATAGAAGCCTTATGTCCATAGTTTTACCATTTCATTAGTCATTCATTTACAGGTGCACTGTGCTTGTTGCTGTGTTTTTAGATCTGTCAGGAATGATAAGTATTACCTCAGCACCTTTCAGGACTTCTATAATTTTAGAACCCTTGAGAGTCTAATTACTTATCTTGATATTTAATTAGCAAGTCTTGCAGGACCAGCTGTGCATGTGAAACTGTTCCTAGAATTAGTCATCATTGGAATATCATAGGTACATAATGAAAGGACTTGTGTCCAAATTTTCAAAGTGTAAACAGGTAAATCTGGATTTTTACAGTGTATGTTTCATCTGTGCAGTGCTTGAGGACCAAAATAGTAGAGCTTCCCAGGAACTAATGTAACTTAATATGTTTGAACACTGTCATTCATGCCCCAGAGATGCTAGGAACACAGGAGTAGTCCAGATTGCCTGTTTGGCATACTCAGTTGTGTTAATTTTTTCCAAAAGAAAGTTGTCTTTTTTCTGACATCCAAATGCTTATTGCCTAGTTTTCTGTGCAATGTTGAAGGGAAGACAAGAAGTGCTTCCAGAGTCTACTTAAAGGTCTCCTAAAGCTAATAAATCTTCACTATCTGTACAAAAAATAGCCTTTAGATTTCAGGTGCTGCAGAAATTACTATGGCAGAATGAAGCTTCGATTTAAATTACTATTAAATATAACATTTCAGATTTTGTTCAAGGGACCAGAAATCCCCAACTAACTTTTTACCCTGCAAAGAAAATCCACAATTTTTCTTGTCACAGTTTCAGGCAATTAATCTCTAATTTTGAATGTTTACTTTTTTATGTTTTGAAATGAAAAATGCCAAATCACTCCCAGAGAATTGCATCTTTTCCTGCAAGGTTACTCTTTTGTTTAAAAGAAACCAAACATCATCTTTTAAAAGAGTGAGATTAGTATAAGGTTTTCTTGTTGCTGTTTCTGTCTGGAAATCCATGATTAAATAGTAAGTCCTCATCATCCTGAAAGCAGAAATTTCTGAAGCAAATAGTCAAACTAGACAATAAGGTACAGATGATTTTAGATGGACATTAGTGTTTGATTTAATTTGTGAAGTAACAAGTCACTTGAATGACAGACAGTGAAGCGCATTACATTCTTAATAATTCAGGTTTGCATGTCATTTTGAATATTTATATAGTACAGTGCAATTATTGAAGTATTTCCTAGGAGAAGATAAGTGAGATGTTCCAAGTCTGTGTGGTGTAAAATTGTTGTAAACACAGGGCAATTATGGTTAAATTTAAAGTCAAATGCAGAAGTCATGAGAGGAATCAAAAAACCCCAGTCTGTTCTCATGTCATAGTCTAAGAATGACTGTGTTGGCAGAAATGAAGGGAAAAAAAAAGAATCCGAGGAAAAGGAAGGAGCTTATTCCCAATGTCCTTTTCCCTTTCAGAGAGAGGCATATACTGTGCAAGGCCATACCTTGCAGTTTATATCTGAGGTTCTTGTCCCTAATGTTGGTCTTTCCAGTATAAAGTTTCATTTCTTGATTAGATCAATAATTATGAAGAGAAAGTGACTTCAAGGCCTATAAGCCCAGGGCACCTTGAATATATTTGGAATAAATTCTGATGAACAGATGCCCATAAACCAACAGAAAAAAGAAATTAAACAGGTCCAGTATGAATTTATCACAAAAACATGATTGTCTTTTCCCAGTAGTGTGATGTTTCACTAAAGAAACCCCAGTGACTCTTTACAGGTCCAACTGCAGAGTATAAAAGACAGCTTCAGCACTGGGGTTGTTTTTTGACTATTTAAACCTGTGGCTGGAAAAAAAGTTCTTTTTAATAGGTCTGTTATGTTCCGCTTTTTTGCGATATTACCATTTTTTAGTTGCTTTTCCTTCTGTTCTGAGTTGCATAGAATTCATTAATAAGGGTTTGCTCTTGTGCATTAGGAAACATTTCTAAAGCAAGAAAATGACTGAATTCAGTTGCTTAGCTTAAAGTCTAGCTCTGCTCCTGCCGCCATTTCACCATGGAGCTTTCCAAAATGTGAATTGCAGTGAAAACCTTTTATCCCAGTGGCACCATTTACCCCTGGTGTTCTGTTCAGTCTCCCTCTGTGTTTATTGTGGGCAGCATGACTGGAGAAAAGAGGGTTTTTTCTGTTCTAGGCAATACTTTTGTTAAATGAGTTTTACTGAGTCTCCCAGTTGTGCAACCTTCATGCAAGTCTTGAGGCTAGATTTGTAAATGGAAAATCAAAGTATTTATTTTATACATTGATTTTCATCAACCTGTTCTGCTGATATTGATTCACTGCTGCCTGTGTCTAAGAAAAACTATGTTTAGAAAAGAAAATTAATTTATGTGCTTTGTCTTGTTCATTCCTTTAAATCCTTTGTCTGAGTAAGAGGCATTCTTCCATTAATGGATGTAATGAGAAAAAAATGTATTTAAAAGAGCAAAAGCAATATAAGTTCATTGGAATTGGAGTTTGCAAGTTCGCTGTGAAACATTTAGAATGGTAAAGGTGAAAACAAACTAAACTGATTCTGCTACACTCAGAAAAAACAGAAGTACATTTATTTTTCCATCCTGTTTTTATTTTGCATGAAGAATAGCTAGAAATGTAGTCTGATTTAACATGTAGCATTGAGAGCAGCTCTTGAAAGATTAGGAATAACATATGATTTTCTGGAGACTCAGTTGCTGCTGGAGGAATACAGCAATTCTCATTGCAAGACATTGATTTGCCAGCAATACCTAAGACTTGGACCATGCAATCATTTCCTTTTCAATCTTCTCTGCAGCTCCTTATTGCCTTTCTAAGTCATCTTTGATGCTGCTGCTTCTACAAGTACAGGAGTTTGGCTTTTGATTTCATTTGCACTTATATCACACAGAACAATTTAATTACTTTCAGAACTTTTACTCCTGGGTGTTATGCAGATATAAATGAGAAGCAAATTATTTAAGAACCCATGGAGTGTAAGAATGTCTTGTTTACCCTGTCCTGGATGTTATTTATTCATGAGTACATCTTAAACACAGTTCACAGATAATCCCTGGGATCATAATTTATGTCCTGAGCTCTTTTGGGAGAAGTAAAATGCCACACTAACATTTCACAAAGTGTTTTTCCCAGCATGTTAGGATGCAGCCAGTAAATCCACTTCCCAGTCCTGTGGACTACATGGCAGTTATACATGAAACACCAGAGAGAAAGGAACACCAGTATGCCTTTGCTTCTCCACAGTGCTTATTTGGAGTAAACTATCTCTCTTCTGCAAGAAAGTTAGGATTCAAAGATAGTTCTACTGGCAATAGAGATGGAACCGACTTCTAAGGTACCAGGTGCTTTGACAGAGTCAGGGATTTTCTGTATTCTTTCACCCCATAGGAAAGGATGGATTCTTAATAGTTGCACT